AGCATGTTTGGTGTGATGAGGATTCGAACCCGCGACCCTCAGATTGCAAGTCGAGCGCCCTAATCACCTGCCCATGCCGGGCCAGAAGATTGGAAAATAGACAATGGAATGTAGTATCTGGAGCAATACTATACATATTTTTTATCTTTTAGTTAGCAGGGGAACAGATCATGTTCACCAAAATGTTAAAAAATTTTCACACACTCACATTCAACACACGTATTATGTTCTATGTACATGCACTTAAACAGGTTATGCTACGTTGTGACCTTAATAAGAAATATTCATGGGCCATTATTTTTAAGTGTTAATGGAATTTTCCGCAGAAGATGTTGCTGGAGAATTATTTAGTCCTATACTGGAGTTTACTCTATTGACATCGGTCGTGTAGAGATTTAAAAATACCTTGGGGGGGGGGGGTTCCTCCTTATCTTGTATCAGGAGATAACCTAGTGACATAAGAGCTAGAAGAGTACTTTGGAAGAATTGACCTTATCTATAATCTGCATATGGTACTTTATTTTCTCAATCTATATCATATTAGATAGCAGTGTTATGCAGCGTTCATACAGTTTTTTCATGCAAGGTTGTACATTTAGCTTGCTGTAAAATAAGTAAAATGTCTGTTTATATATTATTATACACTGTGTCCAGTAATTTCTCCAACTCAGTTCGGGGCGGAAACTCAGTTTAACTTTGCAATATATTTCCTGCGGTATTTCTATTTATCGTGGTTATAGTTTTTTTTTTTATAAGTTTGTCAGTGTGCTTGAGAATACCACAGGAGGTCTCAAAAATATTAAAGATGCAGGAAAAGTGTTTGTTTTTTGCTAATCACTAATTCCTTACCAAGGTAGGAACTGCCAACCATCTATATTTCTAAAATACAAACATAATCCAAATTTGATAATGTTCTACATCATACGTTAATTCCTTACCAAGGTAGGAACTGCCAACCATCTATATTTCTAAAATCTGAACATAATCCAAATTTGATAATATTCTACATAATACATAACAGTCTCAAACAATAATGAATGTTGTAAAAAACCGTAAACAGTATAAAATGTTGATTTCTTTCTAGAATTAGAAGTAATCACTTCAGGACGTAGAAAATATTCACAGATAAAGTTAGCATGATGTGAATCACAGTACAGGCAGCTAACAATTGAAATTTACTGGTTCCTACAATATACATTTGTATTTGAAGACACTGAAATTTCAGGTTACAAGAGCTTTACGGATGCTAAGGTATCGGATAACAAAACTTTTATTGTGCACATCTTTCTATACTCAAGTAAGAGTCAGAACTAATTAAAACATTTTCAGAATCTTGACTTAAACACTTTTTGATGTAATAAGTCTCCTAAACTGAATGAATTGGTACATTTAGCAGTTATTATTTAGGCCATACTTAACGACCAGTCTTAGTTACAACAAAATATTAAAGGCAATTTTTTATGTTGACCAATGACTTACATTTACAAAATAT